TGTGTGTGTGTTGAATGCGTTCATGCCAATGTAAATCCTGTTGTGGAATCATTATATAAACAGGCATAAATTAATCTTAAAATGACAATAATATCACTAATCGCAATCAATTCTATACAATATAATCGCACAGAAAAAACTGGCTTATGACAGACCTAGTCAACAAAAACATCAAATACTTGACACAAAATATATTTTTTTACTAATACTCTGGAGGTTTTAAGTGGCGAGGTCAAACTGTTTTCAGATTTCACATTAATACGAGAGCCAATTCTTAGATTGGTTTGACAAAAGTGGGAATAATAAATTTACTAAATTTGTCTAATCTATTTCACTACAACACAAACAAATTAGAAATTTACGTCTGTAAGACAAGACACCAAACTTTATCCCGTTTTTAACAGAACTATCAACACAAAAACAGTTATCGTACAAATATATTTAGAACGCATCCCTGAATGAATACACTGTAGAGTTGCACAAGAAATCATTTAAGCATCGATATCGCAATGTGATCATTCACAATAGTTACATCGCAAGTATACGCAATGTTTACAATTCATCATTAGAATGTTTTTTTTTATGCCTGTGATTGTATAATGACCTTAAAAGCATTCAGGCATTATCAGTCATACCTTTTATAACTTTAACCACTATTAATTTTATTAAATTAGTTTTCTCATTCAGATTCTGTACTTGAATACTGTTAGACAATAAAACACATTTCAATTATATCATTTTCTTGATTGTATTTATAGATTGTAATGCATGAAAATACTCACAACACATGCAATACAGAAACACACTACAAATAGCACAGACCAGATCAAAAACGTGTCGGGGCTGCATAAAGTTTCTAGATTGTTTATAGGGCTAGGCAATTAATTAAAAAGTAATGGAAAACGGCATTCAGCACCTATAATCAATAAAAAAAATTCAGAGTCATTTTTAAAAAATTTTTCCCTACTTGTGTGTGGAGTTACATGACTGCGCTCGGTTAAGGGTGATTTATACTTGTGCATCGAGTTCATGCGTATGGAACGCCACAGGCTTCTTTTTTAAAGGTGCGCAGGTATGCGACCACAAGATGTAACTATACATTGCACATTGCTATTTATTTTCACTTTTTATAGAAAAAGTGACTTTTTTTAGGCAATGTTTGTTTTTATTTCAGTTGTTCAGGGTTGATGTTCACTCTTCACACAAAAATTTCTCACTTGTACTTGTCAGTGAACTTTGAGGGCAAAAATAAATAAATAAATAAATAAATAAACAAATAAACAAATAAACAAATAAATAAAGTAATCGGTCATTAATTATTAACTAATTAAAATGTTCCATTAATCTACATATTGATTTTAGGCAAAATCGCCCAGTCCTAACTGTTTATTAGATTATATGGAGATGCACTCCCACTACAGAATCATCCTAATCAATCAAACATTATAAATTCTTTCCAACTAATATTCAAGTTATCTGATGAAAATGTATTCATATCGCAATATATAATCGCAAAGCTAGATTTTTCCAAAATCATACAGCCCTAATTCACCTCCTAAATTTTTAGATTTCTTGTGAGAGGTATGAACTTTCCAAACTGAAAGCTTGGCGAACATTCTGCAGCGTAATGAGCACTGATCTGATATAGGAATATTGATCAGATGACATTCTGCAATAACACTGAAAAGTCAGCTAGAAACGTGGAGAGCTTCAAGTGAAATTACAGCCTTTGGGCCCGTAAATATGCATCAGTGATCACTGATTTGGTTGAACACACACACAAAACAATGAGAATGGCTAAACATGCTGCACCTAATGCCAAATCTGGGTCATCTTATATTAACTAGTGTAAATTACATGGTGTTAAAGTTACTTATTACATAAAAAAGGGGCATGCTGCACTCACAACTCTATGAAAAAGCAAGTGTAAACCAACAGCACCAATGATGAGAGTGATCATTTTCCAACGAAACCATCTAAAGCATACGCCGTAAATGATAAATATGCTGATTAACCAGTCAAAATGCAGCTTGAGAATGGCACCTCGCAAACTAAACTATTGTGCATGACTGAAAACACAATGTAGGGTCACAGGCCATGACCCCTGCATTATCCCTCCCCGTGGACTCTTAATCCCATTCACCTCATATGTCTCACACTCGTGTCTCCTATGGCACAAATTTACATGCCACACCAAATCTGATCATTAGTAAACAAACCGTGACGCATCTAAATAACTGAACCACTTGTCTGGGTATCTGAATAAGCAACTGCTCTAGTTTATCCACTACAAAAGGATAAAATATGTTGAAAATGGCAGAAAAAAACCCTATCAATCTTACTGCCAAGCGTCACGCGTTTGACTGACCATGCATAAAGCGTCATGAAATCCATATATCAACATCGACATCTCTCAAATTGATGAAAGATTATCTTGTCAGAAAACCCATTATCACACAAATTTCTGAAAAAAATATTATTTGTATTGACCTTATTCTTGAATGCCGATGTGCGCTCGTATTTTGCGATTGTTTTAGAACTTTCGATTCAGTTTCCTATGGGAGAAATGACTAGGAATAATAAATGTAGAAAACTGTCAAACTACTTGCTTTATAAACAAGTGTTTACATGACTTTACAGACAAAGAAGAATATTATAATGAAAACATATCAGTTTTCAACATCAAGCAGCATAACGAGCCATTTTAACGTCTAAAAATAAAATGGAAGTGAATGAGACCGCAAGTCTTAAAAGATTTAAGATTAAAAAAGATTTAAATGGCTGCGCCCGCTCGCATACACAGATTGAATACAAAGGTGAATAGCGTTTTTTTTTTTTACAACATATTATGTTTTAAAAGCACGAACACATGTTTGTATAACAGCAAATTTGAGCTGGGTATGGGTTGGTATGAGATTCTGACGGTATTATAACCTAGAAAAAAAATAGCACGGTTTTACAGTATTGAGGTTACTGCTCCAAAATAAGTTCTTTATAAATGTCAGGGTAAATTCTTTTTTTTTTTTTGTTTCCCCCATTAAACACAATATATTTTATTTTAAGAAACATTTAAAATATTTGGGACAGTAGCTTTTGATGTAGAGGGCCCTTATTTTGCTGGAAATACCATTGCCCTAAAAACTAGCAATATTTATAATTAAACAAGTAAATATTTGTGAAAAACACGATTAAAAGAAAAAAAACATACACAAGCCTTAGGAAAGGTATAACAGGCGGTTTTAAAACACTGACCGCGGTAAACCTTGAAACCGGTTATCGTCGTAGGCATGGGACGATAACCGTTCTCAAGGTATCCTGTGGTTTTAAAAAGTCAAGGTTTTAAAACCGACAAATTTTGCGGCTATATTGTTCCTAAGGTATGTGTAAGATTTTATTTATGTCTCTTTTTTTTTTTTAGGACAACAGTATCTCCAGCTGAAAAGAAATCCAAAGATGCCGTTTAAACGGTAAAAAAAATCTATGTTTATGAAACAAATGAAGACAGCAGAAGTCAATGATTCATTTCAGTTATTTAGTTTGACATGTTTACTTTTCAAAAGTAATTTAAATGTTTGTCAAAACAAAATATATTTTGTTCAAAGGAGAAAAAAGTTTTTGTTTTTTACCCAGTGATTTACAAATACCATATTTTAGAGCTTTAATTACAATACCATGGTATAACCGTGACATTTTTATCCAAGGTTATTATACCGGTAGAATCTTATATCGGCCCATGCCTGGTCCCATGCCTAGTGCTGTATAGTATATATATTTCTATTTAAACATGCTGTATTTATGAATATACATATATTGTTTCACTAATAAATACTATTGTTTACATTGTTTCAAAATGTAAACACTCACAGATTGAGTATAGAGCATGTTTATACACACAGTATATTGTTTATATATACACGTACACATCACATATATATATATATATATATATATATATATATATATATATATATATATACATACACACACACACACACATATATATATATATATATATATAAAGGGTTTCTGCATGTTTCATCAAGTAAAATTTTATTCTTTATAAGACCCTTTTAAGACCATCAAGAGTGAAATTTTAGACTTACAACGGTTAAGATTTATTCTAATGGCCTGGTATTATTATGAATCGTGTAATCGTTTTGAGTTTTTTTTCTGAATAGAAAATTTAATTTGGGGAATTTTAATTCTGTAAAAATGTTTAGAAGAGGTTGTGAATGTATCTCTTTGCAATAAAAAAACTTAAATATAAAACAAAAAAGGTTTTATTGAGATATAATGTTGATGGTTGAATGGACGTCGGCCCAATTGAGTAGCTTTACTTTGACAAAACAAAATTAAGACTTGTTTAAAACCATAAGACCTACAACACAATATTTCAGTGAATTTAGGACTTTAAGGCCTAGTTTTTTAAATTTAAGACTTTTTAAGACCCAGCCGAAACCCTGATATAGCTAATGTAAACAATCAAGCTGTTGAGATCTCCTGCACAAAATAAGCTGCATTTAATTAGACGATACTAAAATGAATAAATAAATATGCCACAGACAGTTCAAGCTAACAACTTCACACACATTCTTTATTCCCACTGTAAAAATACAAGCCTTAAAAATGTTAGGATGAGGAATTATTTAGGCTTATAATTGGGGTCTGTTGGGTGAAGATAAGGTATGACCCCCTGGATCTGTGCATCCATGTGCAGAGAGAATGTACGGTTTAACGACCTAGTGTTTATCTACCTGCACATGGCTGTACTTATCAGCTAAAATACGTCCTGACAGACACCCGTTTACTTTAAGCTAACTTACAGTCAGAAAGTAGAACCAAAACTGCATGGGTTAAACACCAAACACCAGGTGATCTGATGATCTCACATGTATGTGACTGACTGCACATGCCATGAAGTGTAAACAGTTGAGCAATGCGTAGCTTCTGGATCCTTCGGGACAGAATTTACCAATCACACTTCCCCTTTCCGAACTTACCGATTCGAGTGTCCTGTCCGTGGGGGCCTTGCACCGGCATGGTGATCTTACGATCGGGCTGTGGGATGCACTTGAGGCAAAAGGAGTGCAAGCAGGGCAGGAGTTTGGGTTCACAGTCGCGGTTCTGGAGACTCTGTTTACACACAGCGCACGTATCCAGCAGGTTTATCGGGGCGGCAGGGGTGGAAGATGATGAAGATGTGGATGCTGGTGGAGGAGGCGACATCTCGGTAACCACAGCGGGTGATGCGGCAGCTGCGGTGCTGTCCGCTGGGGTGGACGGTGGCGGCGGCGGAGGTGGTGGTGGTGGAGGAGGAGGATCCGCGCTTTCAGCATTCGGGGTCCCGTCTGTAGCTTCGCCGCCGCCGCCACTGCTGCTGCTATCGCTGGATGTCGTCGGCGCCTGGGGAACGGTCTCTTGAGATTTGGCCTCGTCTGCTGCTTCTTTCGGCTCCGTGTCGATTGAAACAACCGCCTCAGGCTCTTTTGCGCCACCGTCTCCGTTTTCTTCCGTCCCCGACGCCTCTACCTCCATATTTGCGGAGCTCTCCGTACAATCTTGGCCTTTGTTGTCCGCCATCTTTGCTCCTCTTTGAACCGCCTGACGTTCGACGCGCTCAGAAAATCCGATGGGTTTGACGTCATGCCGTCGCTCTCATGTTCGTCACAGAAAACAAACTTCCACACTTTTTGCTAGAATTAGAATTAAGCAGAAGGTAAATCAATTTTAATATAACTTACCAAAATTAAAATTGTATTTGGCGTAAATTAATTTGATATACACTATAAATGTAATTATAATAAAATATTTTTGTTGTTTTACACGAATGTCGTTATAAATGTTACATGTTCTGTATAAATCGTCACTTTTATTGCAATCGTTATGTAAATCAAGCACGTTCTGTTAATTTAAGTTCATTATCATCAATAAAAACGACTAAATCTCTCTTTTTAAGGGAAAACATTAGATAGGTGAAGTGAGCTTTACGCATTTGGCTTTTATCCAACGTGACTTGCTTAACATTTATGCTCTACATTTTATTATTGCTGGAAAAAAAAGATGAAATCCAGTCAAGGCATAATTTCTCAAAGTTTAATATGGCTAAACCGCAAATTAGACCGTTAATCATAAGCGTCACACGAACCCATTATCATTAATGCAGCATTGATCTTCATATATCAGTAATTGGAGTTGATGTTTCTTATTCTCTGCTTTTAGTGGGCGACTCTACGTGCATCTTTTCCATTTCCTCATTAAAAAAATACATAAAACAATTTAAATCACTGTATAAAGTATATAAAGGAATATTTTAAGTTATTAACTCAATCATTTGGTGGCGGAGTGTGTATGGGTGTTTCCCAGTGATGGGTTGCAGCTTGAAGGGCATCCGCTGTGTAAAACATATGCTGAATAAGTTGGCGGTTCATTCCGCAGTGGCGACCCCTGATTTATATAGGGACTGAGCTGAAAAAATGAATAAATGGCTTTTATAGAGATGTAACAGTCACGTCTCAAATAAAAAAAACAGTTTTACATTGGAATCTGTTGTTATCACGTGACGTTTTCTTATGGGAAAAAGCGTGAAGGAAATATACACTCACCGGCCACTTTATTAGGTACACCTGACCAACTACTCGTTAATGCAAATTTCTTATCCGCCAATCACGTCAGCAACTCAATGCATTTAGGCATGTAGACATGGTCAAGACGATCTGCTGCAGTTCAAACCGAGAAACAGAATGGAGAAGAAAGGTGATTTTTAGTGACTTTGAACGTGGCATGGTTGTTGGTGCCAGACAAGCTGGTCTGAGTATTTCAGAAACTGCTGAGCTACTGGGACTGTCACGCACAACCATATCCAGTGTTTATAGAGAATGGCCTGAAACAGACAAAATATCCAGTGAGCGGCAGATCTGTGAAGGCAAATGCCTTGTTGATGCCAGAGGTCAGAGGAGAATGGCCAGACTGGTTCCAGCTGATAGAAAGGCAACAGTAACTCAAATAACCACTCGTTACAACTGAGGTATGCAGAAGAGCATCTTCTGATGGCTACTTGCAGCAGGATAACGCACCATGTCATAAAGCTTGAATCATCTCAGACTGGTTTCTTGAACATGACAATGAGTTCACTGTACTCAAATGGCCACTGCAGCCACCAGAACTCAATTCAATAGAGCACTTTTGGGATGTGATGGAACGAGTTTCTCATCATGGATGTGCAGCTGACAAATCTGCAGAACCTACGTGATGCTATCATGTCAATATGGACCAAAATCTCTGAGGAATATTTCCAGTACCTTGTTGAATCTGACATAAAAAATTAAGGCAGCTCTGAAGGCAAAATAGGGTCCAACCTGGTACTAGTAAGTTGTACCTAATAAAGTGGCCGGTGAGTGTATATATCTGTAGGACTATCAGAATATATAAGTAACGTTTTGTGTCTCTTACAATTAATGTCATTAAGACTTAAACAAAACTTTTACATCAGTTTCAACTTTTTGGTTACAAAATCAACAGTTTAGATTCTAAAAGCAACATTTGGTATTGAAAAATATTAACTTGTCCAAAAAAGTATGGAGTATCAGGAAATTAGATTTACTAGTAACCACACGCAGAGAGAGAGACACACACACACACACTATAAAAATCAAATTGAAAATTAATGAGCAGAGTGCAGTATTTCGGGGAAAGATCAAAGAAAAAGCCCCCAATTAAGCAAGGTATTAAAAACAGCTCGTGAGCCACAAACAGACCGCTAATTGCAAGCAACCACTGTGGCATGAAATAAAAATCTAAAACACAAGATTACAACTTGGTTACTTTGAATTTCAATTAGAACAAAGTTGCAATAACTGGAAACAAAAGTTAGGGTTCAGGGTAAAACAAAAGGCAACTTTTAATGAAATAATTTGTAAACATAATACATTCTGCCAAACAGAGATCGCCACAGACAGCTCCAAAGCGTGTTCTTTTAGCATATCAACAGGGGGCAAACAAAACAAAAGTGTGCAGTTTAGTTCATTTCTCTTAGTTGTTCTTCAGTGTTGGGGAAAGTAATTCATTACATTATTGAGTTTCTCCTTAAAGAAGTAACTAGTTGCGTTACTTGGTTACTTCTCATGGAAAATAATGCGTTATGTTACCTTTAAGATAATTTTTCATACTGTACCTGCCTGAGGACTGATCTCTTTCAGAACTTGCAGGGTATTTTTTTAAAAATAGAGGAGCTCTGCATTTAACGACACACTGTATAACCTTCATTTACCTTTAAAAAAAAAAATACAAATAGAAAATTGTTACCTTCTGAGAACTTCCCGACGCTATCCATGCCGTATACAGATTAATGATAAGTTGAAAGCAGTGTGCTTGCTACTTTAATATTTTTGTCTTATTAGTAAAATCAGTGTCTGTTGAGACAATCCCTTTTTCATCCATGCATTCAGAATAATGAAAATACTTCCATTTCAAAAATGTAAAGCTCTGCCATCTTGGTTTCTCCCTGTTCCCGCGGGGAGTTCATTTTCTCATGAGTGCAGGATTTAACGAGATTACATTTATTCATTTTCTTTTCGGCTTAGTCCCTTTATTAATCTGGAGCCACCACAGCGGAATGAACCGCCAACTTATCCAGCATGTCTTTACACAGCGGATGCCCTTCCAGCTGCAACCCATTTCTGGGAAACATCCATACACACTCACACACACACATAAACTACGGACAATTTAGCTTACCCAAATCGCCTGTACCGCATGTCTTTGGACTGTGGGCGAAACCAGAGCACCCGGGGGAAACCCACGTGAACACAGGGAGAACATGCAAACTCCACACAGAAATGCCAACTGACCCAGCTGAGGCTCAAACTAGTGACCTTCTTGCTGTGAGGCGACAGGGCTACCCACTGCACCACCGCAGCAAAACATTTAGGTATACAGTGTCTGTAAGCAATAATAAAAAAAATTTAAAAAGTGTTTAGTTCCTAAGCAATAAATCCACTTATTAGTAAATAAATACTTATTGTAATTTATACAGTTAAAAGTCAACATTGCACATATGAAGCATTTAGATGTACAATACCTGACGAAAGTCTTGTCACCTATCCAAGTTTTAGGAACAACAAACAATAACTTGACTTCTAGCTGATCATTTGGTATCAGAAGTGGCTTATATGAAAGTCAAAGGCCTCTAGATTACACTTATTTTTACCAAAATACAATATGATAATTCCTTGATTTTTAATTATTTAATTAGGACAGGAAGGGTTTGACTTAGCTTAGACAAAAGTCTAGTCACTTAACAGCAATAACGTCCAGTATAGAATATAAAGTCATGGTGTAGTGGAAAAAGAATGAATATTGTTTTTGATTCCCATGAGCTTGGAGGACTGCATTCATTCATCTCTCCAAAGCCTCAAATAAGTTTATTAATAAATCATCTGGGATGTCAAAGAAAGCATTCTTGCAGGACTCCCAGAGTTCATCAAGATTCTTTGGATTCATCTTTAATGCCTCCTCCATCGTACCCCAGATATGCTCAATAATGTTCATATCTGGGGACTGGGCTGGCCAATCATGGGAGCCAAAAAAAGTCTGTGTTTGTGCACAGAGAAAATGAACATGTCATTATTTCATCATTTTATTGTGTATTTCTTAAAAACATTACAAATAGAGTTAAACAGGAAAATGAACTTATCGTCTATCATAAGACACAAAATTATTATAAAATGAAAAAAAAACGACAGCCCCTAAAGCTTTGGAAAACACCTTTAAGCAAACACAAATGTGAGTTGTGGAATTCCAGAGACAGTGTGCAGTTCATGATTTTGGGAAAGCATATTTTCTGTATGCACTACAACACTATAGCTCACTTGTGTTTTAAAGGCTATTTTCCTATATTATTTATTTGTTTGACAGGAAAAAAAACTAAGCTATTTAAAATAAAAAAGCTGAATATCAGACGTTGCGGAACATTTACTTTTGCAAAGTCTGTGCATGGTGTTCAAAAGTCCTGTCTAATGTTCTCCTTGTTCTCGTCGCCCTGCTGCTGCTTCATCTGCGCCACTTCATTCTCCAGCTGCACGATGGCGCGCTCGATCTCATAGTTCTTACTGACGAGAGACACCCAGCTGTGAAAACACGAGCAGAAATATGTGAGTCAACGAACTGACTACGACATTTTCTGGAACGAGTTGAACATAATGCAGTACTGACTTGGACTCAAGTTCTCTCAGTTTGGCTCCTCCAGCCAGCTGATCGTTTTTGCGCTGCCAGTTCAGGTCTTGTATTTCCTTTCTAAAAGAAAAACAAACACACTTAGGTTGAGTTAGAGTAGAGATTTATTATTTTTGAATCCATTCAGCCGATCTCTGCTGCGTAATATCATTGTGCAAGCTGCCAGACATGGTACCGCAGTAAAATGTCTTGATTATTACACCTTAATCAGAGTATTGTTCCCAGATATATGAGAATATCTCAACTTTTCATTTTCTGTTGGTCCAACTACATCACAGGTGTCAAACTCAGTTCCTGGAGGGCCACAGCGCTGCAGTTTAGCTTTAACCCTAATTGAACACACCTGATCAAACTAGTTGAGTCCTTCAAGCTTATTTGAAATCTAAAGGCTTGTTGAAACAGGGTTGGGAATAAGTGCAGAGCTGTGGCCCTCTAGGAATTGAGTTTGACATCCCTGAAGCACATGATAAAACTACAAAAGAGTCAAGCGTTAAATAGGAAAATGAACTAATCTCTTTGGTCATTTGAGCGAGATGCTAATGGTCTAATCCGATTCAATAATCTATGCTAAGCTAAGCTAAAAGTGCTCCCTCCAGACCAGAAGATTATCAGAATGGATTAAAACTCAACTGTTGAACTCTAGGAGGATTATTTTTAAATAGAGTGCTCCTTAAATATTACATTTGGAAGTCAATTAAACCACACATACAACATCCAAATAGTAAGTAAACTTAATAGACAGATAATGTGCTTACCTTACATTCTGCAGCTCTTTTTGTGAATTTTCAATCATCAAGGCCAAGTTACTGTGTCACAGAAAAGACGACCAGTTATGATCAGCATAATGAATAAAAGAGTAATATGTGCCTCTACCTGTTAAAATGATTGATGACTTACAGCCCTGCCTCTTCTAGGGCGGGATTTATGGTTTAAACCACACTCCTTTTAGGACAGGACTTTGTTTAAACCCCGCCCCTTTTCATGTAAACGTTGCACTTCCAGTAATTAGTTTTAAACAGTTTCATCAAATTAAATTATATATTATAATTCCGCTAATTAAATTGTAATCAAATTAATTAAATTATATTACTGCATCAATTAAATGATAGTTCCTGCAATATTCATCAAAATATTTAAATTATCACAACTGATATTATGATGTAATCAAAATAATTTATTCAATTCACCTATAGTGCATGTTTTTGGACTGTGGGGGAACCAGGGGGACCCGGAGGGAACCCACGCCAACATGGAGAGAACATGCAAACTCCACACAGAAATGCCAACTGACCCAGTCGGGGCTCACACCAGAGACCTTCCTGCTGCGAATAGACAGTGCTAACCACTGAGCTACCGTGCCACCCAGTAAACTATTAACTTAATTATATTTAATTTTGTTGTTTTGTATTATATTACAATTAATACTAATAAATATTAATACACTATATTAACACTATAAACATTTAAATTTCTGTTAAGCTGTAACTATTTTGTGTTTACCCTGTTTGTTCGATGTGTGCGTGTTAGGATGTGTGCGATGATCAGGAAAACATCCACTGACCATTTACAATACCCCAACAGCTGTTTGAGTAAGATAGATTGATATTAAATATAGATCACACATCTGTTGAGAGTGTGGTGTGTGTGTGTGTCTCCTGCTAAGTAGTATATGTTGTCAGGTGATTAGGAAGTGTGATATCTATATATAGGCTGTGTGCATGGGCAAAGGTTTGATTATGTGTAGGTGTGTGTGCAGTTGGAGGATTGAGTATAGGTGTGTGTGTGTGTGTGTGTGTGTGTGTGTGTGTGTGTGTGTGTGTGTGTGTGTGTGTGTGTGTGTGTGTGTGTGGCGGCATGTGTGGATATACTATCTATACTCAAACCTCCAACCGCACACAATTACCCACAGTCACACCCACACAGTCACGCTCAAACCTTTGCCCGCATACAAGACACACATAAGCACATAGTCGGTTGCCTGTAAATATATAGATATGCAATATCTTCACACTTCCTAATCACCTAAAAACATATACTACTTAGCAGGAGACACATCCAACAGATTGTGAACCATATCTGATTTGAATCTATCTTACTCAGACAGCTGTTGGGGTTTTGTGAATGGTCAGTGGATGTTTTCCTTATCATCGAACACACGCACACATGGGATAAACAGAATAGTAAGGCTAAACAGAAATTAAAATGTTAGTTTATTAATCAATATAAAATGTAATATAATACAATAAAAATATGTATAAAATTAGCTTATTCAAAATAATATAATCCTAATAATTTTAATAGAATAATTAAAATAATAACAGTTTAATTAATATAATTATTTAAATTACATTATAATATCAGTTGGAATAATTGAATTAGTTCGATAAATATGGCAGAAATTATAATTGAATTAATTTGATTACAATCGAATTAGCGGAATTATAACATAATAAATTGATTAAACTGTTTATAATCTGATTATAACGTTAACGTCAAGTATAACGTTTACATTAAAAGTGGCCGGGCTTAAAACAGGAGTCCTGCCCTAAAATGGGCCAGGCCAAAAGTCAATCATTTAACAGGTAGAGGCCTATGTTACTCTCTAACAAAACCCAATTAAAATAAACAGTTCTTTAATCAAAGTTCATGATCTCGCAAAATCAAAATAAATCAACACAGTAGGGGTGTGTGATATTTATCATCTACAACAGTGGTAGGAAACCCGTCAATTTTATATTTAATATTGCGTCCCGTCAATAAGGTTTTACAGTTTAAAAATTATAACTGACTAGAAAACGACTTACTATTGAAAATACAATTACAACTCCTTTCTATTGTAATTTATTTTAAAGCAAAAATAATTATATTTACAATGAAAGGACATTTCGACTAATGCATGTGTGTGACGCTGGGGATTCACATATTTACATACAATTTTAAATTCATAGACTTTCCATAGATTTTGGACTAATAATGCAGATGAAAACGCATTTGCAGAATAAACTCTGATGTAGTGAACATTACACCCACATGACTAATCAATCAGCTGTCACTGTTATGCTTGCCTTGTTTACTGCCGGTTACTAGATTACCAATACTACTGCAAATTATTGCATTGATGATTCATTGCATGAACTGTTCATAAACAGTCACTTGCTTAATTTATGAAAAGTCTGAATTACTATTATTATTACTATAAAATTATCAATCGCCAAATACGACTTGTACTTGCCTTTTGGCAGATATTACTGTCATATTTATGTATAGCTATGTTTCCATCCAAAGATGTTAATTAAAAATATGCGCCAAACTGGATTATCGCATAAAAGACATGTGAATAAGGTAACTTTTACATCCAATGAGTCAAAGAGAACAAAACCGTCACTTCCTGATCAACTGGTGCTAAACATCAACAGTAAAAACCGTATTTACTCAGAAGACGATGCAGACATGCAAAGAATGTGTGGTGGCGTTTGAAGGCGTGAGAAGCGGAGCACAGCCACTCTTGACAGTTCTGGAGGTAATTAATAATATAATAACTCTAATACTGAAACAATTAGGACGTTTTAAAATGACCAAAACAACATTTCAGATGTTTAACAATGTGCTCAGCCTGCTGGTTTGTCCATTCACACACAATTCTATCATTACATGACCAGTATTGGGGAGTACCTAGTTACATGTATCGCCATTACATAACTTAATTACAAAATAAAAGTAACAGTAATTTGTTACAGTTACTGAGAAAAACTGTGTCATTAAATTACAGCTACTTATGAAAAAGATTACAAATGGGGTTACATCTAAAAAATGGTAAAAGTAGTGATGCTACTAGCTTAACTACATTTCTCGGTAGCATCGCTACTAGGGCTGCACGATTAACCGAAAAAAGATCACGATCTCGATTTGAGCCTACACAATCTTAATTCAGCTTTTCTACGATTTAGTCAATTATATTTTTGAGGTCAGGAGAGAAGCAAGGCAGTCGCACAAGTCTTCACAGCAACATAAACACCTTCAAATGGTGTTAAAAATAGAGCTGTAAACCTACTGTGGTCTCACAGTTCGGTTACGATTATCATGCCATCGATTCGGTTCAATTCGATATCTCGGTGCATCACGGTGCTTTTCATACATAGTTTTATATATTGTACACAGCAGAAATTGTATTAAACTGTATGAATATATTCATATTTATTTACTATTTGTAATACAATTTTGTCATTTAATACAAACAGTCAGATATATAAACTGTACCTTTAAACAACCCGAGCATTTAGCAAATAATATAAATAACTAGCTCGCTTTCTGATCCTTGTCTAGTTCTCTTACACCTCTTTGATTGGTCACACCCTCAACAAAAATGGTTGCGATTGGCTCTTAAGCGCTGCGCTCTTCACAGATGAGTGATCCTGATAAGCGGCAGGCGGCCGCGGCGATCACAGCTGATCTATGATCAAAAAAACTCAGCAGACACGCGCTCGTGTCTGAACCTAGAAGTAACGCTGTAAAACAGTCGAGAGGAGAAGAAAAGTCACGCCAGCGGGTCAAATGGACCACAGTGTGAGTGTGTGTGATTGTGTGTGTGTGCGTGTGAGTGAGAGAGAGAGAAATGGTCTCAGTCGCAGTGAAATAGGGGCTTTGCTGTAAATGTCAGTGAAAGACTGATCCAGCAAACACATGCAGTGAAATTGTGCACAGTTTATGAGTTTTAAGTCGTTGGATCATTGTAAATACTTGCACTCGCCTCCCTCGCAACGGAGTGCATATGAGATAAATGACGTCAGTACATAATAACCTGTTGTGATTATTACTGAATTGTTACTGATAAATGATCATATCGCATTTTAGATTTATGATTACGACAAGCATTTGATAGGTTTTTTCTTTCATAGAGAACACAAAGTGTTGTGCATGAAAATAAATGTTTACTGTGTCAGTATCACTGTAAACATGCTTTGGAACAGTAAAATTAATAACCCTAGCCCATATATAAAGGAAATATAATGGTCTAATGTTGTCAATGACAGATGACAAGCACATGTCTTAAACATAATAAATCAACTTTATAATTATGAAAAGTTATATTCTGATGTCATCATTTTACTGTGAATTAACAAACAGGACATATTGAAGTTCAAGTATAATCAAGTGTAATCAGTTAGTTTATTTTTATAAAGTAATTAAAAAGTTTTTTTAGTTTTTTAATAGGGTAATTTGTAATCTGTGATCTATTACATTTCCAAAGTAACCCCCCCAACACTGCACATGACCTCTTATAACAAACTAATGCTCATCTTGGTGTTTCCATCAATAATTTTTTTAAATGCATCTCCAAAATGAGCATAAAAATAGGTGGATGGAAACATAGCTAATGACAGGCCTAATACAGCCAAGGTGACCGACTAAAAACACTCACCGAATTATTACATGATTAATTATTATTGCTTTCAAACAGAACAGATATACTTTTTGAAAAGGTACATTATATTGTAGAACTGCAGATTAACTATTAATACATTTGACATTTGTAACTTTTTCTAACTGTGATTGTAATGTAATAATGCACATCTTTTATAAAGCTGTTTTGGAACAGTAAAATAATACTCATTTACAATAATTTAATAGAAACAGCTTCATATTTCTGTCAATATCACACACCCCTAGAGTATAGAAAGTCTGATTTGCATCAAAAGATGTGAATAGTCTGATTTAAGTCAGTTCACTCACTCATTAGACATCTTCCATGCATTGGTTCCATACTGAGCCATGAGCTCCAGGTTCTCAATGCGCACCGCCTGATGCTCCAGCTGCGCCATAGAGTTATTCACACAGTCCTGCCACGCTGTCATGTCGTTCTTCTGTCCGGACGATGGAGCGGGAAGCTCATATCTAAACAAACAAGTGCAAGAATGTGAGCTCGATCAACAAATTAGTAATTATATTAGGGTAAGCCTATTACTGTATGTGCACTCTGGGAATGAATGAATGTAGAGGAATTGATAATTATGTCATCGCATTGTTATGACAATCACAACCAACCGGTAAGCTTCAAGACCTGATTTCAAGTTTTGGCCTGATCTTGAGTCTCATCAGTTTGTTTGTTTCTTGATTTTGCTTATCGCTGTCAACAATGGATTTGGTTTCAAAAATTTCTGATTTTCAGAAATCTACACAACAGTGAACAGCAACTTATTGAATTATAATATATTCCTCAATGAAAAGGACAAATGCTCTTTAAGGAAGGGGGGATTTTACAGAGCTAACCACTTCTTAAATGTTTGAGTTGGACAATAAAACTCAAGTAAAGAAAATGACATACTCATAAATAAACAAACTATAAATTAAATAAAACTACTTTCAGGACAGTCAGAAACCTTGGAGTGGTTCTTGACCAGCTGAAATTTACAGACCACATAGCCACAACTGCCCGGTCATACTTGATCAAATTCAAGCTACAGTCATTCACCTACAAAACGTGGCTCTGCACACGTTTACTTAAAGTGATTTAAAGTGCTTTTTTATCCTTATATGCAAGTTGTTTGGAAAAAAAAAAGGCATCTGGTAAATGAATTAATGCAGATGTTAACAATTTATTATTTCTTTGATGCATGTTTATGCAAGTAGCCCCAGACCTACAAGTTGCTCAATTACTATATGGTACAGTACAATCTGATTGGTGGAATACTTTTACGAGTTTTAGGTTTATGAGTATTATAGTACTTCCCTATCCACTTTGAAAGTACATTTTTACAGACAGTTTTAACTTTTGCTCAGTAAATTGACCTCTTCATACTGAGCAGCTCCATGGGTTGACGGGCAGCCAGTCTCTCAAACTCATTCCTCATGATTTCTGTCTGATGAGAACAAAAGCAGAATATAAGATTACAGTGTGAACAAGTAGAAAAGGAGCAGAAAATATTTCTCATCTTTTATTTACCTCAAAAGCAGAGAAATCTGGTGTGGGCAAGTAACTCAAGTAGTTTTTAGTTGGTCTGTATCGTCTCGTCTCTTCCTCCACCAAAGCAGCGGCCTAAAATCCATCAAACCCGATTATTTCTCGATTTAATAAAGATCACTGTAATACCAAACCATACTTAATCCACAAAAACGAAGGATTAAATATCCAAACTGTCTTGTTTATGCAACAGAACTAGCCGTTAGCCAACTGCCAGCAAAGTAAATATTTATTCTTCATCGTTTTAAAAAGACAGAAAGCACAAAAATACATATTCAGTGTACTTACGGCTTCTCTGACCCCTGTGGCATCATAACCCTGGTCGAAATAAGGCAGGGCATCAACAAAAACATCACCAGCGACTGATGCTGGTCCTGCCATCCTGAACAAACACACGCTTCGCGCACTGCTTCTGCTAGGATTACATTGAACGTCAAACGGAAGGTAGGCGCCATCTTGTGTTTCGGAGAGAAAACGCGCCATCAGTTTATTTAGCGCGAAAGTTTGACAGAAAGTAAAAAGAAAACACATTGAAGTCACAAAAAACATGCTATCCAGTGAAAGTATGGTCACCCAAAGTTGTCTGTTTTTTTTATGATCTTCTCAAAATGTTGCTAATGAAACTTACCTTTTTTGCTGCTTTGCTTTTTTCATAAAAAACATTCAAATGTCAAGTTTTTTAAATGTTGTAAATTGTGGAACAAGCATTCACCAAACAAGTATATTAAGCAAAAAAACATTTGTTGAAAAAATGAAAAATGAAAAATGGTAACACTTAATATAAGTACCCTCTATTTTACTTATTACTGCCTTATTGGCTCACAAGTTATTTATTTTACCCAATGGTTGAGTTAAAAATATTTGGTGCTTTGTTGGGTTATTTTGAAACTTTATTGGGTTATTTATTAATAACTCATCCAGTTGGGTTAGATATTTGGTGTTCTGTTAGGTTATTTTTAACCTTTATTTACTTAATAACTCAACCAGTTGGGTTAAAAATGTAGAATTTCAACAGTCTACTGATTTAACTGATACAGAACAGCTTTATTGTTATGTGTACATAATGATGTTTTTGCGTTAAAAAGTTTAAGGTCTAACGCAATACATTCTTTTAATCAAATTACCTCTCCATGTCATGTGTTTTATATCCACCAGCACTCTGAATTGTTAATAATACAAACACCTCATAGCCGATCTATATTAAACAGATAAAACCCCTTAAGTGTCTGGAACTTTAAATGCAATGGAAATAAAGCATTTTCAATATTTTTTAAACTGTATGTTATTTATTTACACAGCCATAATTATAAAATAATACTAGTACTAATAGTAGCAATACCAGAATGGAGAAAAATTACATTTAATCAAAATAACCAAATGCATTGGGTTAAAATAACCCACAGTTGGGAAGTTGGTATAATAACCTAGTTGGGTTATATGTTGATGTATTTTTAATCCAAGTATTTTCACTGAGTATATAATACATTTTCTGCTTGATCTTATTCTTCATTGCTAATACTTAATACCTAAACTAAAACCTAATTATTAATAAGGAATTTATTAAGAAAACAAAGTCAGTGTTGATGGGTTTTTAATAGCAAAAATTGTCCCTTAAAATTGTCTCTAGAGGAGCACCAGCACTGCATGTTTTGGATGTCTCCTTCGTTACACTCATTACAGGTCTTTCAGTCTCCACTAATGAGCTGATGATCTGAATCAGGTGTGTTTGGTGAAGAAGACATGGGAAATGTGCAGAGCTGGTGGTCCTTCAGGAATATGGTTTGAGAAACATTACCTTAAAATAAAGTGAGTGTATTATAAAATAAAGTATATTCCTATTATTTAGTGAAATATTAGCAAAATGTATTCTTAGCTGGGATACGAGTTATAAACTCTCATTTTATTACAAAATTCCTATATATTAAAAACTCATGGCTATTCACATTTGCTGGATATTCATCAGAAGTTCTACACCGAAAACGGCAATTATTTGATTCACACTGAAGGGCGGCACGGTGGCTCAGCGGTTAGCACTGTCATCTCACAGCAAGAAGGTCGCTGGTTTGAGTACCAGCTGGGCCAGCAGGCATTTCTGTGTGGCATTTGCATGTTCTTCCCGTGTTGATGTGGGTTTCCTCTGGGTGTTCCGGTTTCCCCCACAGTCCAGAGATATGCGCTAGGTGAATTAAATTGTCTGTAGTGTGTGTGTGTGTGTGTGAGTGTGTGTGTGTTTGTGTGTGTGAATGAGTGTGTATGGGTATAGTGTGTACAGGGTATGGAATAGTTGGCAGTTAATTCTACTGTGGTGACCTCTGAAATAAAGACTAAGCTGAAGGAAAATGAATAATTTACACTGCTTGTGGACACCTGCATCAAAAACGTGTTTTTTATTTTAAAATGTTACAAAAACTGTAGTTTATCTACAAAAACAAATCAAAACTGTACAAAATGTAAAAGCCTCTGAAAAACTGAAAGATTTGCCTTAATATTTCGCAAAAAGAGGCAAAGAAATAAATGTTTGACATTTACAATGAAAGAATTTCTGTGCATATGAAAAACAATCATAAATTAATTAGTAAAGGGGAATTGAAGTCAACCTTCATCATATTTTTTTAAAACTAAACATTAAAACAAACTTCCCACCCTATTGTTTGTTTGTTTTTTTAAAATGACGTAAAAATCATATAAACATAAACATCTCAAATAACCCAACGCAAGTCATTCTGCATTCATAGTCAGTTTTTCTTCCTTATTTATCAAACCTACATTAACATGACACAGACTCCTCCTCTTCCTCTTCAGTTGTCTTTGTTCCTTGTGCTTATGAACTCATTTCCAGCCTTTTCCTCTATTGGCCACAGAACGGCAAATCTGAGGCTTAGAAATGTCAGAGCAGAACGAGTTGATTCCAGTCTTGAGCTCATCTCCACCCTTGAGTATTCACAGAAGAGGAACCGACGTGCTGCTTGAGTCACGTTTTTGAACAACAACAAAAACCTTCTGACACCCTTCTCTATTTCTTCTGCAAGAATTTCATTTTATTTCCTGAAAACAAACAAACAAACAAACTTGTGAGTAAAAGGATAAGAATGCAGTTAAAGTCACAATTATTAGCCCTACTGCGAATTTTTGTTTCTTCAAATATTTCCCAAATGAACAGAGCAAGAATTTTTTCAAAGTATTTCTATAATATTTTTTTCTAATATAGAAAGTCTTTTTTATTTTGGCTAGAATAACAGCAGTTTTTAATAAAAAAAATGTAAAAAAAAAACATTTTAAGGTCTATATTTTTAGCCCCCTAAGCAAATCTTTTTTTCGATAGTCTACAGAACAAACTGCTATTGTTAACTGCTACTGCTATTATGGATTATGTTACACAACGGCCTCTTTTTTTAACAATCTAGGCACAAAGTCTAAAGCACACGGCACAAAAGCATTAGGGGCATGTTTGAATCTACTTTTGCTATTTTACGGACGGAAAAATACACTTTGCTCCCAGGCACATGGTCTAACAGGGTTGTGCTTGTTCTCTTAGGGCCTACTCACACTAAGGTATCCGAACCTTGCCCAGGCCCGTTTCCTGGATCGTTTGGAAAGTGTGAGTGCTCTGAACTGGGCTAGGGCACGGTTCACTTGGCCAGCCCTGGCCCGGTTTGAAGAGGTGTGCCAGAACGCAGTTCACTTGGGCTTTGGCGCGGTACGCTTGTGTGTGAGTGCAAAGTGAGCCAGAGCCTGAAACTGAAGACGAGGCGTGACTTTTACAGGACTGTTTGATATGGATTAATTAATCATTCTTACTGTTCAATGAACACAAACGGTCATAGATTATTAAAGATGCAAACCACAGCAGCGCACCTTTAGCAAACCTCCTAATCCCTGCAGCACGAGGGCTTTATGATTGTTTATGAGTGTCGGATCTGTTCAGCAAAAAAAAAAAAGTGGCGGATCTGTTCAGCAAAATATTTGACTGCGTGTCACTATATATCAAACGACTAAACCGATATAACTAAAGAAATCTCCACTGTGCCAACCGAGAGCGTTTACCGAACAGCGCATCATCGATGACGTAAGCGTGCCCAGGCCCGAATGTAATGTGAGCGCTGGCCGTCGGGGGAGACGGGAGGAGGGAAAAACGTGCTTTGGCCCAGTTTAAGGCAACTGTACATAGTGTGAGTACGCTCTTAGGCCGTACTCACACTAGGTACAGTTGCCTCGAACCGGGCCAAAGCATGCTTGTGCCCCCTCCCGTCTCCCCCGACGGCCAGCGCTCACACCATATCGGGCCTCGGCACGCTTACGTCATCGCTGCTGCGCTGTTCAGAAGCGGTCTCTATGGCAAGCCTTTTTAGCATTTAAATCTTTGTTCTGACTCCATAAATATATTTCGAGATATCTCTAATTATATTTTGACTAGTCATAATTATAATTCGACTAGTCAGAATGACAATTAGACATATCTGCAATTACAATTGTACTAGTACGAAATCAGATTGGAGATAACTGCAAATATATTATGACTAGTCATATTCCTCCATTGACTTCCATTGAAAAATATTTGCAGATATCTCTAAATGAGTTTTGACTAGTCACAATTGTAATTAGAGATATCTCTGAGTTTTTACTAGTCATAATACATTTGGAGATGTCTTTAATTCATCATATTTAGAGATATTTACAAATATATTTACTAATAGTCGAATTACAGTTGTAGATATCTTGAATTGGATTTTTGACGAGTCAAAACTCATTTGGAGATATCTGCAAATATTTTTCAATGGAAGTCAATGGAGGAATATGACTAGTCATAATATAGTTGCAGATATCTCCAATCTGATTTCGTACTAGTACAATTGTAATTGCAGATATGTCTAATTGTCATTCTGACTAGTCGAATTATAATTATGACTAGTCAAAATATAATTAGAGATATCTCTAAATATATTTATGGATAGTCTGAACAAGGTTTAAATGCTAAAACGGCTTGCCATACGCTCTCACCCAGTAGCACAGTGGAGATTTCTCTAGTTATATCCTTTCAGTTGTTTGATATGCCGTCAAATATTTCGCCAAACAGTCCTTAGGGATGCGGGGACACGCAGTCAGATATTTCGCCGAACAGATCCGCCACTTTTGGCACTCATAAACAATAATAAAGCTCTCGTGCTGCAGGAATGAGGAGGTTTGCTGAAGGCGCGCAGCTGGCATGCTGTGAGGAGTTCTCGACTTTAATAAACTACGGCAGTTTGCGTTCACTGAACAGTAAGAATGATTAATAAATCCATATCAAACAGTCCTTTAAAAGTCACATCTCGCTTTCGGTTTCGGGCAAAGCCCAAGTGTACCGCGCTTAGGCACACCTCTTCCAACCGGGCCAGGGCCGGCCAAGTGAACCATGCTTGAGCGCGATTCAGCGCACT